GGATAGATTCGGTCCAAAAAATGGAATAATTTTAGCTCCAAAATCTAAGAACAAGAATCAACGACAACTGACTTCATGCGAGGGCAATAAGGCATTTGAACTGCAATGACGAAGGCATTAAATTGCAGCTGACATTTGACGTGTCTAAAATTTCAGTTGGTCATGACATCAACCATCACAAAGGTTGTTGAACATTCAGATGTAAATGGAGAGGATAGACCTCGGCAAAAGTGAAGGGTCCCTCTGAGCCACGCGGTTCGGTAGCACGCCAGTACCACCACTCACGCTGTGTCGCTCCACCACCCTCCGCTGCCTCCGGACTGTCAACGTCTCCTTTAAGCACGTTCGTTGCCGTGGGGACAGGTGCGCGTGAGGTGTGGAGATGCGAGAGACACGCAAGGTCGGTGACCACACGCACACCGTCGGCTTCGAGGAACTCATCCGCGTTGTACTAGAAGAAAAGGGGAAGAGAGGAGGGCAACGACTTTATCGTTATTTAATCTCCGATGTCAATTGCCTGCAAATTTTAAACTGAAAGCTTTGAAAGGAGAAAAAAACTGAAAATGGGAGTCGATAGTTAACCCTCCTCAACACCCTAAACTTGATCTTAAGGCATGCAAAGAGGGATATATGAGCGATGAACTGAGATAAGTCGAGAGTGCGAGCGTTAACAGAGAAGGCTAATCTATAAGTGCCTCAAGATTTCAACTTCCTGCCCATCAGAGAGGTCGAGGTTGGAGAATGATGAAGCACTGCAATTCAAATGCCAAAGGGTGTATCAACCGATTCAGAGAGACGAGAACTGGTAAGTGGGTCGAAGCACAGTTTCCTGTCTTCTTGTTTCAAAATCTGACTTTCATGACCAAGTTAGCGGTGAATTTTTGAACTTCCAAGACGTCAACTTTGAATTTTTGAACGGAGAGAAAAGTGCTTTAAATGAGGGTAGATGGAAGGATACCTTATTAATCATCAGTTTCTCCAATAACGTGATAAGACAGTCGCGCTCTGCAGCCGACGGCGTTCTATCCATGAGGTGCACTAGGAGAGGAATGTCTGAAACAGCCCCAATTTCTGCATGACACCGTCCATAGACAATTGCCATCGCGTTCAAGCAGAGGCATCGCATTGAAAGCAAGTGGTTTCCACGCCTACTGCGACCACGTTTTCCACGTGGAATCCTTCCACCACCACCACCGCCACCAAATGACGAATTCACTGACCCTAGTGCAGCGGTGTACTGAAGGTAGCGCCGAAAGAGTTCGCTGAAGAATTCTCGACTAGAGGGAAAGAAATGTGAAAACATGACTTGTTGTAACCCGAACGTGTAACTGCTC